TGTCGGTGGGAAAGCCAAGGAAGACGAAGGGAAAGGTGCGAGAGGAGAGCTTGTCCGCAGTGGTATCGCGGACAAAGGCACGAGAGCCCCAGACCCGGAACACCGACGCATCGCCAACCTCCCCCGTCCAACGCAGTGTAGGCGAGGTCTCCGGCAAGGAGACACGGGGCCAGAGGTTGAGCTGATGCGTAGCGTACCGGACCGCAAACGGCCACGGAAAATGGGGAGCAGCCGCATGGATCATGGAGGTACGAGCCACCTCCATGACTAAGCCAATGCGGCGCTCAGCAATCCCATTTTGCTGTGGGGAGGCCAGAAGCCTGAACGAATGGATGATGCCCTCCCCACGACAAAAGTCCCGCAGGAGGTGGGAGGAGAACTCACCACCTCTGTCAGAGTGCAGAAGCAGGACAGGAAGCTCCTGGCGCAACCGCTCGCGAAGCTAGAGACGGACAGCGCGGATCCAAGGGATCAAGACATCAGGGACCTCCCCCTTGCTACGCAAGGGGAAGACCGTGGTGTAACGCGAGTAGTCGTCAACAACCAGCAGAAAGTATCGCTCCTGGTCCTATCCACGGACGTGGGCTGGGCCCAACACGTCCATACGGAGAGTCTGCTAGGAAGAAGTCATCAGGGGAAACGAGGAGGAGTGAGGAGCGGCGCGCTGCCGCCCCTCGACGCAAGGAAGGCAGGGTGGCGCAGGCGAGGGCGGGAGGGGAGGCAGAGACCTGGGAAGACCAGAGACAAGGAGGCGGGAGTGCATGCCACGGAGGCGTGGCAGGGAGGGGTGACCAAGGCGGTGGTGCCAAAGGAGAGTCTGGTGCGTGAGGAGGCGACACGAACAGGGGGCTGCTACCTGACCTGACGCGGACAATTGACCATACGCAGCCACCTGAGGAGGCTCAGTAGTCAATGTGTACAGGCTCGACCCAGGCCGACGGGTGAACGTGGCCAGGTGATGGCCCGTCCGTGCACATGTGCAGATCGACACATGCTGACCCCTAGGAGTGGTGGCAGTGACCATCTTATCCTGGAGGGCAGCGGTACTCACCAAGTTCGTAGAGAATGAGGGGAGGTGAAGACCTGAGAGTGAGCCAGACGGAACCGCCGGACACGGGAGAATAGTGGAGGAACGTGCAAGAACCGGGCCCCCTGAGGGGTCAGCCAGAGAGACTGCAACAGGTGCAGGGAGTGGTGTGACTGTGGTACTGTCGCGAAAGAATCAGCAAGAAGCACCCGAGTCAAGCGTGAAGGTGTGCGAGGCCTCAGCAGGAAGAATACCAGAGAGAGCAGACGCACTAGCACCTAGAGCAGCAGCCTCTATACCTGGGTCGGGCGGCACACACAGGTAACAGTCACCCTCAGCATTAACAACCGCAACACTAACAGCGCCACGCCGAAGGCAGGTGCGCTGAGCAAACCACTCACGAAGCTGCTGGGGTGTAAGGGTCTCGCGCGGACGCTGCTGCTGCTGCCTCTGGCCACCGCCAGAACCTCCCCTAAGGACCGCTCCACCCCGACCGCCACCACTGCCGCCGCCACCACTCCCACTGCTGCCACCACCGCCGCCACCACTCCCACCGCTACCACCACCGCCGCCACCGACGCCTCCACCCCCACCACCACTCCCACCGCCACCACCGCCACCTCCACCGCCTCCACCGCCTCCACCACCGCCTCCACCGCCGCCACCCCCACCGCTCGTGCCTCCCTTGCCCGTGCCGCTACGGCGCCTCCCACTAGGAGCAGACGCAGCCCCGACCTCCTCAGCACGAAGGAAGTCAACAGCAGCAGCAGAAGCGACAGAGGGGGCAAGGGGGGAGGGGAACACCTTTCAAAGAAGGGAGTGCAAGGAGTGCCACGAGAAGCAGCTATTGCGACTATGCTAGTCTCACCTGCAAGTAGATGCTTCTCGAGCAGGTCGAGAGTGAGGTCTGTGGGGTCAATGGCGAGAAAGTGGTCCCTGACTGCGCGAAGAGAGTCAGGGAGGCGGGTGACGATGAAGTAGAGAGTGATGTACATGGGGGGGGGGGGGGGGGGGGGGGGGGTTCTTGTCTAGAAACTCGGCTTTAAGCGCTGCGCGGTAGAGAGTGTCGCTAGTGCAAAGGTGGGTGATGAGGCCGTCGACAGTGGAAAACGCTGACAGCTCAGGAAAGGGGTACGGCAGTATGAGTCGGCCTAGAGCAGCAGTGGCAGGGGAGGAGTAACGAGCGACTACAGCGTCAAACAGTGCCTTAGCAGTCTTGTGCTGGCCAAAGTGCGCGCGTTCGGCTAACGGCAGGTGGTTGCGAACGGCGAGGCGAGCAGTAGCGTCACGGGTAAGCCACTGTGAGCGAGTCGCACTGTCAGCTGTCTCGGGAGGAGCAAGAGAGGTCCTAGACATGTGGTCAAACAGGGAGACACCATCCCTAGACTCGCTCTGTAGGTACAGCTGTAAGTCGTCTAGCCAGGTCTCAAACTGGATCGGACGGCCCTCAGAATCGAAGGTGAGAACACAAATAGAGGCCATAACGGGTAGAGTAGGGTGGCGCACGACCAGCAGGGCAGCACGCAGGCAAGGCAGGGCGGCGCGCAGGAAGCTGGGAGGCGCGCAAGTCAGGGCGGGGCGGCGCGCAGGCACTAGGGAGGCGCGCAAGCCAGGGCGGGGCGGCGGGCGGCCAGGGAAGGGCGGCGCGCGGGCACGGGGGGCGGCGCGACGGGCAGATAAGGGCGGCGCGCGGGCCCTAGCGTGACGCCACGGGCAGGGCAGGGCGTGCGCGGGCAGCGCGACGCAGGGCAGGGCGTGCGCGGGGCGGCGCTGTCAAACATTGCATGTTTATATTGTCTAGGCTGTAGTGGGTTACACCTTAGGGGGTACACAAAGTTAGGGTTTCCTACTTGTACCAAACTCTGTTCTAGTTCATTCATTCCTGCTCAGTTATTTCTGACATGGTATCAGAGCAGGTCCTTCACTAGGACTGTTCTTAGGGCCCACCGACTTACCTACCTGCTTACCTTCGCTTGTTTCCGGCCCCGCTGGCCCCGTCGATCTAGCACGATCTAGCGGCCCTGCGGCCCCGTCGAAATTTCTTTTTTCCCTAGCGGCCTCTCACGGCCCCGTCACGCCGCCCGCGAACCGCACAGCGCGCCGCGCTCACAGCCCGCGAACCGCCCGCGCACAGCCCGCGACCCGCCTGCGCAGCCCGCGACCAGCCCGCGCAGCCCGCGCACAGCCCGCGAACTGCCCGCGAGCAGCCCGCGACCTGCCCGCGAACCCCCGCGAGCCGCCCGCGACCCGCTTACGCAGCCCGCGAGCAGCCCGCGCAGCCCGCGCTGAGCCTGCGCGGCTCGTGCGCTGACCGCCGCCGGCCCGCACGCTGCCCGCACTGCTCCCGGCCCGCCGCTGCTGAGCCCGCAGCCGCCCGCGCACCGCCGCTGCTGAGCCCGCCGCCGCCCGCGCACCGCCGCTGCTGAGCCCGCCGCCGCCCGCGCACCGCCGCTGCTGAGCCCGCCGCCGCCCGCGCACCGCCGCTGCTGCGCCCGCTGCCGCCCGCGTATCACCGCTGCTGAGCCCGCCCCTGCTGCGCCGGCTCTCGCTGCCGCCTGCTGCGCCTGTGCACCACTGCAGATCCTACTACTACACTTCCTGCTACTGCTGCTTGTGCGCCACTACAGTCCGTAGGCCCCACCGGCCCTGCTGACCCTGCGCACGCCTGTTCAGTGACTTTACTGCTTCTACTACTGCCACTGTCGCTATGGCTAGTCCTCCTGTTCTAGCTTTCGACGCCGAGGGCCGTCCGGTCAAATTCGAAACCTGGCTAGATGACCTGCACCTTTTCCTACAGCTCACTGCCAAGGAAGATATTACACTGTACGACCACGCTCTCGGCCATGCGACCGCCCCACTCGCTACTGCCCCCCCAGCTGAGCGCTCACAGTGGCAGACCCGTGACGCGCACGCTCGCTTTGCTATTCGCAACTCCCTGCCGCTAGATGAGCGCGAGCACTTCGGCCAATGCAAGACTGCTAAGGACCTCTACACAGCTGTAGTGGCCCGCTACTCCTCACCCGCTTCTGCCACACTAGGCCGCCTCACTCTCCCCTACCTGTTCCCCGACCTAGCCTCTTTTCACACTGTCGCAGACCTCATCACCCACCTTAAGACTAGTGAGGCTCGCTTTCGCGCTGCCATGCCTGATGAGTTCCTCGCTAGCAACCCCCCCCCGCTCTGGATCACTCTCTACCACGTTGTCACCCGCCTCCCTGACTCTCTGCGCCCTGTCAGGGACCAGTTCCTCTCTCGCTCCCCCACTGAGCTCACCATAGCCCTCCTCGAGAAGGAACTGCTTGCAGCCGAGGCTAGTATCGTCGCTGTAGGCACCTCTCGTGGCGACCCCCGCGGCCCCTTCTTCGAGGGGTGCTCCCCTTCCCCCCTCCTCCCCTCTGTCGCCTCTGCTGCTGCTGTCGACCTCCTTGGTGCTGAGAAGGTCGGGGCTGCGTCTGCTTCAGGCGGACGACGCAGGGGCAGGAGTGGCAGGAGTGGGGGTGGTGGCGGAGGAGGCGGGGGTGGAGGTGGTGGCGGTGGAGGTGCGACTGGAGAGGCTAGTGGCGGCGGTGGTGGAGGTGACAGCGGTGTTGGGAGTGGTGACAGGGGCGGAGGTGGCAGCGGAGGCGGAGGTGGTCGTGGCAGCGGCAGGGGTGGAGGTGGCCGGGGCGGAGGCGGAGGGGGTGGTGGTCGTGGAGGCCCGGGGGGCGGTCAGAGTCAGCAGCCTGCCCCGACCCTTCAGGCCGCTCGTGAGTGGTATGCGCGGCGCAGCGTCACCTGCCAGTATGTTATTCGTACAGGTGACCGCACTGGCCAGACGTGTGGGGGGCCGCACCAGACGGAGCGCTGCTTCGCCCGCCTCAACGATGCGTGGCGCACCCAGTTTCCTGGTGGGGGTGAGCTGCCGCGCTGGGCTGAGCTGCTCAGGAAGGGTGTTGATATTTGGGCACTAGACTTTGATGCTATTCTCACTGCCATGTATGCGATGTCTATTAGTGGAGAGGGTGCTCAGTACTTGCGTGTTCCGCCCGACCCGGGCATTCAGGCCAGCCCCGCTGCTGCTCTAGGTGCTAGTGTGTCTGCTTCCACTGGTACTACTGCAGCTGCTGCTCTAGGTGCTTGTGCGTCTGTGCCCCCTGGTACTGAGTCGACTGCAGCACTGCACACCTTCACACTGGACTCAGGTGCTTCTCGCTCTTTCTTTCGTGACCGCACTGTCCTTGAGCCTCTAGCTCGGCCGGTTGCTGTCTCTCTTGCTGACCCCTCTGGGGGTCCGGTCCTTGCGACCTCCTCCACCACCCTTCCGTGTCCAGCGGTTCCGTCCGGCACGCTCTCAGGTCTCTACCTCCCCTCGTTCTCCACGAACTTGGTGGCAGGTAGTGCGCTCCAGGACTCGGGTGTTCACCAGTTCACCCCTGCCTACGAGCGTGTGACTCACTGCACGTGTGCTCGGACGGGCCGCCACCTGGCTACTTTCACTCGAGAGCCGGGGTCTGACCTGTACACACTGACCACTGAGTCCCCTCAGGTAGCTGCGTCTGCGTCAGCGTCAGGTCAGCTGTCCGCCCCCTGCTCGTGTCGCTCTCTGGCGAACGACACCGTCCTCTGGCACCACCGCCTTGGTCACCCGTCTGTGCAGCGCCTGCGGGCCATGCACAAACGGGACCTTGTTGCTGGTCTTCCCAGGGTGCTCCCTCCCCTTCCTGACTCCCCTGCTCCTGACTGCATTCCCTGTGTCGAGGGGCGGCAGCGCGCCGCTCCTCACTCCTCCTCCTTTCCCCCGACGACCGCTCCCCTGCAGACGCTCCACATGGACGTGTGGGGCCCAGCCCGCGTCCGTGGTCAGGGTCAGGAGAGGTACTTCCTGATAGTTGTTGACGACTACTCGCGCTACACCACGGTCTTCCCCTTGCGCGCCAAGGGTGACGTCCCTGGTGTTTTGATCCCCTGGATCAGCCGAGCCCGTCTCCAGCTAGGCAAGCGCTTTCACTCGGACTTTCCTGTCCTGCGCTTGCACTCTGACAGGGGTGGTGAGTTCGCCTCCGACCTCTTGGCAGCCTACTGTGCTGAGCACGGCATTGAGCAGTCGTACACGCTTCCGGCCTCTCCACAGCAGAATGGGGTTGCTGAGCGCCGCATTGGCTTAGTCATGGAGGTCGCTCGTACCTCCCTGACCCATGCGGCTGCTCCCCACTTTCTGTGGCCGTTTGCGGTCCGGTACGCAGCGCATCAGCTCAACCTCTGGCCCCGTGTCTCCTTGCCGGAGACTTCCCCGACTCTACGGTGGACGGGAGAGGTTGGCGATGCGTCGCGTTTCCGAGTCTGGGGATCTCGAGCTTTTGTCCGCGACACGTCCGCGGACAAGCTCTCGCGTCGCGCTGTTCCCTGTGTCTTTCTTGGCTTTGTTCCCGACGCGCCTGGATGGCAGTTTTACCACGTCACCTCGCGCCGGGTTCTGGCCTCTCAGGACGTCACTTTTGACGAGTCCGTCCCCTTCTACCGCCTCTTCCCCTACCGCACTGCCCCGCTCCCCCCTCCGCCTCTCTTCCTCGCTCCAGGTGCTGAGGTACCAGACCCCCTCCCCCCTCAGGGTGCCGCTCCCTCAGGTGTGTCCCAGGTAGACCCGGGTGAGCCTGTCGAGGTAGCTGTTGACTCGCGTCCTGCGTCTGGGGGTGCTGAGCCTGGGAGTGCTGCGTCTGAGGGTGCGGAGCCTGGGGGTGCTGAGCCTGGAGGTGCGGAGCCTGGGGGTGCTGAGCCTGGAGGTGCGGAGCCTGGAGGTACTGAGCCTGGAGGTGCGGAGCCTGGAGGTACTGAGCCTGGAGGTGCGGAGCCTGGAGGTGCGGAGCCTGGAGGTGCGGAGCCTGGAGGTACTGAGCCTGGGGGTGCTGAGTCTGGGGGTGCTGAGTCTGGGGGTGCTGAGTCTGGGGGTGCTGAGCCTGAGCGTGCTCCACCTGGAGGAGCCCCCTCCTCCCAGCAGCTGCAGGAGAGGTACCTCGAGTACTGCCGCCTCCGGAGAGGTGCTTCTGGAGCTCGTCCCGGTACTTCCCCTCCTACCCAGGAGCTCCCCCCCATTCAGGTGATCCGCGAGTGGTACACGCGGCGCTGCAGTCTTCGTAGTGGTGCTCCTGGTGCTGCGGACCCGAGCGGTGGTGCTGTTGCTGGTGCTGAGGACCCGGACGCTGGAGCTGCTGCTGGTGCTGAGGACCCGGGCGTTGGAGCTGCTGCTGGTGCTGAGGACCCGACCGGTGGCGCTGCTGCTGGTGCTGAGGACCTGACCGGTGGCCCTGCGCCTGGTACTGAGGACCCGGGCGTTGGAGCTGCTGCTGGTGCTGAGGACCCGACCGGTGGCGCTGCTGCTGGTGCTGAGGACCCAGGCGTTGGAGCTGCTGCTGGTGCTGAGGACTCGGGCGTTGGGGCTGCCACTGGTGTCCCTGCTGCTTCTGGAGACGCTGCGCGGCCGCGACCGTACTTCGTACCGCTCCTTCAGCAGGTTCTTGGTCAGGCTCCTCCTCCTAGTCCTCCTCCCTCAGTCGAGTGTCCTCTGCCTGTCCAGCCGCAGTCACAGTTACCGCCTGCCTCGCCTCTCCCTGCTCCCTCTCCTTACGCTGGTCCCACAGGAGGTCTTACAGAGCGTCGTGAGCCTGAGTCTCGTCCTGCGTCGCCTGTTCGTACTGCTCGCACTGGTCGTCGTGTCCCACGTGAGCGTCCTCCTCCTGTCCCTGGCACTCACTACATGACTCTGCGTCCCTCCACTGCTCCGCAGCGTGTCCCGCTGCCGTCTCCTCCTGCGTCCTCTCTTCCTACTCTTCCTGACCCGGAGTCTGACTCCCGTCGTGCTGCCAGTCCCACTGTTACGCGTCTCCTCGCTACAGTTGTCACTGACCCGACCTTTGAGTCCTCTGCTGCGTCTGCCCTGGTCGCTGAGTTGGTTGACTTTGCTGCTCGCTGTCGCCTAGACTACGCTGCCAGCCTTGTCGCTAGGTCTGAGTCTGCGTCTGCCTGTCCTCCGTCCGTCGGGGGTGAGTGTGCCCTCGGCACGGACGTCCTTGAGGACAGACAGGAGGAGTTCCACTGCCTTGCTGCTGCTTTGCCCCGTCTCGTGTCCTTGCTAGTTGCCCCTGAGGGAGACCCGGATGCACCAGACATCCCGACCCCACGCTCTTACGCTGAGGCGATGGCGGGTCCCTACTCCTCTCAGTGGCAGACAGCCATGGACGCAGAGATGGCCTCCTGGAAGTCCACAGGCACCTACGTAGACGAGGTTCCCCCTCCTGGGGCGAACATCGTCAGTGGCATGTGGATTTTCAGGGTGAAGCGGCCGCCGGGTTCTCCACCTGTCTTCAAGGCGCGCTACGTGGCTCGAGGCTTCAGTCAGCGAGAGGGAGTAGACTTCTTTCAGACCTTCTCCCCCACCCCGAAGATGACTACTCTTCGGGTGCTGCTGCACATAGCCGCTCACCGCGACTACGAGCTTCACTCTCTTGACTTCAGCACTGCTTTCTTGCAGGGCAGCCTGCACGAGGAGATCTGGCTGCGCCGCCCCCCTGGCTTCACTGGGTCATTTCCTCCTGGCACCCAGTGGAGGCTTCAGCGGCCGGTCTACGGTCTCCGCCAGGCGCCACGTGAGTGGCACGACACACTGAGGACGACACTTGCGGCTCTTGGGTTCGCTCCCTCTACTGCTGACCCGTCGCTGTTTCTACGTACCGACACCTCGCTGCCGCCGTTCTACATCCTCGTGTACGTCGACGACTTGGTCTTTGCCACTGCTGACACCGCGGCACTCGCTCACGTGAAGTCGGAGCTGCAGAGGAGACACACGTGCACAGACCTGGGTGAGCTGACGAGCTATCTTGGCTTGCGGATCACCCGGGACAGAGCACGGCGCACCATCACCCTGACTCAGTCACACATGGTGCAGCAGGTTCTCCAGCGCTTTGGCTTCACGTACTCCTCGCCTCAGTCCACTCCTCTGCCTACCGGTCACTCGCTCTCAGCTCTGCCTTCGGATGAGTCCGTAGAGCCGAGTGGCCCGTATCCAGAGCTTGTGGGCTGCCTCATGTACCTGATGACCTGCACTCGACCTGACCTTGCATACCCTCTTAGCATCCTAGCACGCTATGTCGCTCCTGGCCGTCACCGGAAGGAGCACATGGATGCTGCTAAGAGGGTGTTGCGCTACTTGTGCAGTACGTCGGGCATGGGGCTTGTGCTTGGAGGGCGAGACCGGGTTGTTCTCACAGGGCACTCAGACGCTTCTTGGGCAGACGACCAGACTACTCAGCGGTCGTCCCAGGGTTACACCTTCAGCCTTGGCTCTGGCTCAGTTTCTTGGCGTTCTACTCGCTCTTCTTCTGTTCTCAGCTCCAGTTGTGAGGCTGAGATCTACGCCACAGCCATGGCTGCTCAGGAGCTACGCTGGCTGACCTACCTGCTGACCGACCTCGGAGAGCGGCCTCGTTCTCCTCCAGTGCTGTACGTCGACAACAAGGCTGCCATTGCCTTGTGTGAGGAGCACAGACTGGAGCACAGAACGAAGCACATCGCTCTGCGGTACTTCCTGGCTCGAGAGCTGCAGCAGCGGGGTCAGCTTCGTCTTCGTTACGTGGCCACGGAGGCCAACACTGCTGATGTGTTCACCAAGGCGCTTCAGCCTTGTGACCATCAGCGCTTTTGCACTCTGCTAGGCCTTGTACCTACTGGGCCTCACTTACTTACCTCTTGACCTTGCTTGTACTGTGATCACTATATATATATGCCTACTTGTTTACTTTTGCTAGGTTGTGATCACTGTATCTCTTGCTTTGTTATAAACCTGCATGTGAACTGGTCTTGTGACCGCTTGCTTGTGCTCGGAATTTGTGTGGAATCCTTGAGATCCACCCTGAGCTTGTTTTGCTTTGCTTTGACTGGTCTTGTGACCCTGTGGTTGTCTCCCACTGCGCCTATGGGGGTGTGTCAAACATTGCATGTTTATATTGTCTAGGCTGTAGTGGGTTACACCTTAGGGGGTACACAAAGTTAGGGTTTCCTACTTGTACCAAACTCTGTTCTAGTTCATTCATTCCTGCTCAGTTATTTCTGACAGGCGCCACGCAGGGCAGGGCGTGCCCGGACGGCGCGACGCAGGCCAGGGCATGCGCGGGCAGCGCGACGCAGGGCAGGGCGTGCGCGGGGCGGCGCGACGCAGGGCAGGGCGTGCGCGGGGCGGCGCAACGCAGGGCAGGGCAGGGCGTGCGCGGGGCGGCGCAACGCAGGGCAGGGCAGGGCGTGCGCGGGGCGGCGCAACGCAGGGCAGGGCAGGGCGTGCGCGGGGCAGCGCGACGCAGGGCAGGGCAGGGCGTTCGTGGGCGGCGCAACGCAGAGCAGGGCGTGCTCGGGGCGGCGCAATGCAGGGCAGGGCAGGGCGGACGCGGGGCGCGTGACGTAGGGCAGGGCATGCGCGGGGCGGCGCGATGCAGGGTAGGGCATGCGCGGGGCGGCGCAACGCAGGGCAGGGCAGGGCGTGCGTGGGCGGCGCTACGCAGGGCAAGGCAGGGCAGCGCGACTAGTGGGGCAGCGCGACGAGTAGGGTACTATTCTGTGGGCCCTAAAAAAACGGTCCTGGAACAGGACCTGCTCTGAAACCATGTCAGAATACTGAACGAGAATGAATGCATTGAGGATGAACTGAGTACGAGCACTAACCCTAATTGGGTTGTACCCCTTATGGTACAGCCTACACAACACAACATTATCATGTTTTGACAAGGTAGCCGTGTCTGGTCAGGTAGCCACGTTCTGCTCATGTCAGTCTCTCAGGCACCCGTTGCTTCTCTGGCACCACCACCTAGGTCACCCCTCCTTTTCAAGTCTGCGTTAAATAGTTTCTTGTCATCTTGTCATAGGTCTCCAAGAGTCGCTTGCCCTGTTTCCTCCCTCGTCTGCGCCTCCTTGCAGTTCTTGCGTCTAGGGCCGGCAGCGCGCCGCCCCTCACTCCTCCACGCTGTCTCGCTCTACTTCTCCTCTTCAGCACTTGCACATGGACCCTATGGGGCCCTGCACCCGTTGCTTGGCCTCGCGAGAAGCGCTACTTCCTGGTTGTTGTGGACGAGTTTTCTCGCTACACCACAGTGTTCATTCTACAGCGAAAAGCCGATGTGCCTGACGCGTTTCTCCCGTGGATCGTAGCCGTTTACACCCACCGAGTCCGTAATATGGTGAGTTCACCGAGCCGTCTGCACTTTGATCAGGGTGGTGAGTTCGTCTCTAGTCGAGTGGAGCATTTTTGTTGCGCGTAGGGGATTGTCCAGTCGTACTCCCAGCCGGACTCGCCGCAGAGGAATGGGATTGCTGAGCATCGCATTGGCATGATCATGGAGATCGTATGTTCCTCCATGTATCATGTCAGTGCCCCATCCTTTGTGTGGCCTTTTGCGGCTTGCTACGCTACCCACCAGCTAAACTTGTGGCCTTGCTCCTCGTTGCTGCAGGTTTCACTGACACTCCTCTGGACTGGTTCCCCTACGCCAATGTCTACGTTCCATATCTGGGGTTGTCTTGCTCACGTTCGCGATTGAACATGAACAAGTCTGCAGCTCGACTGTCTAGTGTGTCTTCCTTGGTTTCCCTCTAGTCAAGGCTTACTTGCTGTTCTGGCACCCTCCATCCCGCCGCTACTTCGCCACTCATGACGTCACCTTTGATGGGTCGGTCTCCTACTATGTCCGTTTTCCCCTCCTTGTCCCGCGCCTCACGTAGCCTCTGTCCCCCCGTGTCTTGCCCCGTCCGGTCTGTGGCACATCACCCCACGTTCCACCTTGTCACCGTCCTCGTCTTCATAGAAACCACAGCAGCCCTTGTCGCAACTGCCATGTTTCACGTCGCTATGGCCAGTCAGTGTTTCACGGTGATGGAGGTGCTGATTTTGGGGGTGCTGGAGCCAGAGGCACTGGCACTGAGGCGCCTTCACCGCGCACAGTAAGTTTCCTGACCCATGAGGGAGAAGTGGGAGCCGTATGAGAGGGCACAGCAGCAGCAGCAGCAGCAGCAGCAGTCTCAGTCGCAGCGACAAGAGTCGAGCAGGGGAGAGTAGAGCAAGAGCAGGGGAGGGTATAGTTGCAGCCAGAGCAGGGGAGAGTAGAGCAAGAGTCACGGCCATAGCAGGAGAGAGCAGAGGAGGAGTCACGACTACAGCAGCAGGTGCAGTTGCAGCCGCAGCTTGAGAGAGTAGAGGAGTCACGACTGCAGCAGCAGGTGAAGTTGCAGGCACGGCATGAGAGAGTAGAGGAGGCAATACGGCCATAGCAGGAGAGGGTAGAGTAGAAGTCCCGGCCTCAGCAGCAGGTGCAGTTTGAGCAGCCCCAGGAGAGAGTAGAGGACGAGCCACACCTATTGTAGAGCAGCAACTGCAGCAGCAGGAATAGGTGCCCGCTGCTGTAGACACCGAAGGAGGTGGAGCAGCAACGGCTGCGCGACTTGCCTGACTCAGCACCTGCACACTTGGTCCATGGTCCCCTACCGTCCCCTCCTATTCTCCCTGTCGAGTTCCTTTCCTTGTCCACATAAACTCGTTATTCTCCCCTCACTCGTGCTGTGTCTCTAGAACCCCATCAATCCCGTTACCATGCAGACGGCCCGTTTCACCTTGTTCTCCGCTCTAACGTTCCACCTCCTTCGGTCCTTCCACACCCTCTTGATACGTCCCTCATTGTGTTTCACGACCCATTGTCTGGCTACCTCCGTGCCTCTCGTCCTATTGCCTCCTGTGTTCTGTCTGCGTTGGTCACTCACATGAGTGCCCGCCCGTTGTCTGTCTCAGCTCTTGTTACCACTGTCGCTGGCTTTGCCTCTTCCCACCGCCTTGACTACGCCGCTCACCTGGTGAGTGGCCTCTCTGCGCCATGCTGCTTGCCCCTGAGGGGGATCCAGACGCCCTTGACATCCCGATCCCTTGCACTCATGCCGAGGCGATCTTGGCACCCTGGGTTGGATTGTAGCCGAGGAGGCAAAGATGACATCTTATAGGTCCACATGCACCAACGTCAACGTCGCCCCACCACCTGGGGCGAATGTCAGTAGTGGCAACACCACCTGTGTTCAAGGAGCGCTACGTGGTGAGAAGCTTCAAACAGCGAGAGGGGGTAGACTTCTTCTAGACATTCGCTCCCACCTTGAAGATTACCACTCTTCGGGTGTTGCCGCACATTGCAGCCTAGTGCGACTACGAGTTACACTCCTTAGACTTCTCAACAACATTCTTTCAGGGGAGCCTTTACCAGCAGATCTGGTTGCGTCGCCCGCCTGGCTTCAGTGGCTCTTTCCCTCCTAGGACCAAGTGGTAGTTACGTCGACCGGTCTACAGCCTGCGCCAGGCTCCCCAAGAGTGGCATAACACACTACGTACGACACTTGCAGCCCTTGAGTTCTTTCCGTTGTCTGCCGACCCGTCGTTGTTCGTACGCCGTACCTCGACACCGTTCTTCATTAAGGTTTACGTTGACGACCTGGTCTTCGCCACTCCCGACCGACGCGCACTGGCCTTCGTGAAGGAGGACCTGCAGAGGAGACACACTTGCACTGACCTTGGTGAGCTGCAGCGCTACCTTGGCCTCCAGATTACCAAGACAGTGCAGCTCGCATACGCAGACGCATATGGTCGAGCAGATTCTCACATGGTTTCGCTCCCCATTCTCCAAAGTACAGCTCACCCATCTTACTGTAAATCATGGGCTCACAGCTCCACCTTCGGACGAGTCATTTGAGCCTAGTGGTCCATATCTTGAGTTGGTGAGTTGTCTTATGTACCCGATGACCTAAACTCGCCCAGACCTAGCTTTCCCTCTTAGCGTCCTGGCGCACTTTGTTGCTGTTGGGAGACATTGACCTTCTCACTGGTTTGCTGCTAAGAGGGTGGCGAAGTATGCGGCGAGCACATTGGCCAAGGGACTTGTCCTTGGAGGGAAGCAGCCAGTTACACTCGCAGGTTTCTCGGACTCATCGTGGGCCGACGACGCGAAGACGAGGCGGTCTACACAGGGGTATTGCTTCAGCCTTGGAGGTCGACTCGGGCGTCGTCTGTCTCCGTTTCCAGATGTAAGGCAGAGGTGTATGCCGTGGCCATGGCCGCTCAGGAGCTTCGCTGGCTGTCTTTCCTCCTCACCGACCTTGGTGAGCGGCCTCGCTCTCCCCCAGTCTTGTTCGCTGACAAATGGTCTGCTTGCCACCGTGTGACCACCAGCGTTTCTGCACCCAGCTAGGCCTTGTGTCTACAGGCCCTCGCTTGCGTAGAGATGCTTTGTCTTGTACTCTTGCATCTCACTATATTTACTATTTACTTGTTTGTGGACTTGCCTTATGGCTCCTGGCTTTTGTAGAGATGCTTTTCTTGTACTCTTGCATCTCCTATATTTGCTATATCCTTGCATGTGGACTCGCCTTGTGGCCTCTTGCTTGTTCTCAGACTGTGTGCTGATCTTGAGATCCACCCTGAGATTTGTTGTGTTCTTGTCACCTAGACTATGGGGGTGTGTCAAGCCATATTTGTTATAGCTTCTATTTGTTAGTCTAGGTGGTGTATATTTATGCTTATGGTTTGCTAGAGTTGGCTAGGGTTTCATATATCTCGCTTGTTCCTTCCTTCCTTAGTTATTCATTCTCTTGTTCACTTAGTCACCACGTTGACAGGTCAAACATCATGCTCACCCAAAGGAAGTTGACCTTCACGCACCTGGACCCAATTGAGTCTGCTGTAAATGCCATACACCCACAGCTTCAATGAAGGAGTCAGCGGTCAAGAGGTAGCGATGTTTCGCATGCCGCATGCCGGAGCTTCGGAATTCGCCGTGTACACCCCAATCTGTGCACTTTGGTATGCACAATAAAACATTGGACCAAATTGGAAGTGACGACATTGCACAAACGAGTATGTGCAACTGTCTGTGTTGCGAGTACCTGCGCAACTACTCCTGGTCATGTAGAGTACAGGGCAGCAGCTAGCGTAAGGAAAGCGGTCGTGGTCAAGGAGTACGTGGACAAGGCGGGAGCGAACGGGCGTGATGAGAGGAAGCCGTGGAGCAGAGGTGATCAAGACGAAGAGGATAGTCGTGGGGACTATCCTAGGTTCAAATGGACTTGCTGGTATTGCAAGAAGGCGGGCCACACTTGGGCGAAGTGCTGGAAAAGGCCCAAGTGGTAGACTCCCGATCATGAGAATGGGGATGATGATGGAGATAAGAACCAACAGCATGGCGTTGGTTATGTAGCAGAGACCGCAATGGAAGGGGGAAAAGATTTTGAGCGTGCGCCAGGGCATTTTTTCCATGTGCAAGGGAATGGGGGGAGCGAGAAAGCATCTGCCAAGAAGGGAGCAGGGCCTCCTCCTCTCAACACTTATATCTTAAACTCCGGCGCAGCATATCACATGACCCCAAGGGCGGACCTGCTAGATAAAATTGGAAAAACAACCATTCTGGAAATGAATTTAGGGTGCGGGTACAAAATGAAAGTGATGGGGGTCGACAAGGCAGCCTTCAAGGGAGCTGATCGGAAGCCAATCGTCTTGCAAGAGGTACTCTTGGTGCCAGAGCTCAAGGGGAACCTCATTTCCCTGAGGCAGATGGGAATTGCAGGTGTTTGCACGGCAACCAACGGAGCCCGGACGTTCACGGGGAAGCTTGGTGAGCGATTCTTGTGGGACCTGCATGAAGACAAAGACCTGTTTGATGAGCTGTGGCACGTGCCCGTCGTATCATAGAAGCAGGTGGTACCTGAGAAGCAGAATACAATGTGCAACTGCAAGGGAGAGTGTGTTGCAGGGGCTGCTGAGACAATCAAGGAGCTGAAAACGACAGTGGAGCTACTAGTGCAGCAGCTGCAGCAGGTCAACGCTCGACTTGCAGCAGATGAGAAGAGAAATGTGCTCGGTGCTGATGAGAAAAACGGTGCAGATGTCAAGGGGAGCATAGTTAAGGCTACCGCTGCAGACCCGGAGAAAGAAGTTCACAAGAGCAGCAGAAACACAAGGGCATGGTGCAGCTGAAGGGTGCTGCTAAGAAGGAGAAGTCGTTGGTGCTGAAGGTGGGATCTTGTGCAGCTGATGGGGCAAAAGTGTTTTGTGAACCCAAGGTGAAGCCGAGCTTGAAGGAAGCTGAGATTGCAGGGGAGCAGATGAGTGCATTCCCTAAAACTGGAGTTGGGATAAGCTATGCGCCGGCGCTGGTGAAAGGCAAACGCAAAGTGTTAGTTCATAAGGGAAAGCAGTTTGGCAAGGATATGAATACTCCTATGCCAATGACGGAAGCAATGAAGGGAGATGTCAAGTCTAGTGATGTCGTGGGTGGATTCGAATAGTCGCCAGGTTGATGGGGAGTTTGTTGGGTGCAAATACTTAATTTGCACGTCAATCTACCGCCTATTCGACGATAGTGAAGGGAAATGGAGTGTTGTTATGTGAAGGTAATTTTGTGATGTGGATTCCATTTTGCATTTTGTATGTGTGCGCATTTTTCATTCTCATTCTGTGTATGTTGTGTGCGCATTTTGTAATTGCATTTTGTGTTAGTGCATTTTCATTTGCGTTTTCACTGTTCTCATGAAGCGCTCAAATGAAGCTCTCATGAAGCGCTCAAATGAGGCTCCCATGACGCGCTCAAATGCAACTCTCATGAAAGCCTAAATGAAAGCTCTCATGAAGCTCCAATGAGGCTGAAATGAACTTCCCATGAAAGTCCCATTTGTTTGTAATGTTTGATGGGTGGCTCATTCGAGCGAGTGGTGTACCGTGGGGCGTTTTTGTGGGGCTCGAATGTTTGACTGGTCAAGGGGGTGCCTTGACTACATGGTACACTGGTCAAAGGCGCGAAAGTCAAGACCCACGCGTGGGTCCTGGTACGCGCGTGTGGCCCCTCAGGGCTCGGGCGTGTGCCATGCAGGGCTGTCGATTCAAGGGCATTTGCCCTTAATGCCCTGAACATTCCGGGCGAACTCCTGGCCAGCTTCTGCATTTCAAAGGGCTGGTTTCGAGGAGAGCCCGTTTTCTTACGGGCTGATTTTGAGAAATTGGAGTATTAACCCGGATCCGTTAAGGGCTGGTCTGGGGCCTTCCCCTAATTTCCCGGATCAGGAGTACAAGTAGTCCTGCGACTCCCAAGTAGCCCCTCTTCTCCTCATTGCTCACATAATCCCCGTATGAAAGAAGTTTCTAGTATTGATGTTATGGCTGTAGTTGTAAAATATTTCTGAGTCCATACACTCCCTCACATTTCCAAGTACTCACGCTGGACTCGTGACACCGACACTGTGGCGAGAAGAACTCAGCCCATCGATTCACACTATTAGTACTACATGAGAACGAAGCTCCTCGAAAGTGCTTTGCGATTGTACACCAGAATTTAAACTATTATTTTCTTGACGATGTTTTGCCCTACGAGGCCCCTCCTCCTTCCCCCCCCCCCCCCCCCCCCCCCCCCCCCCCCCCTTCCCCTCCCCCTGTTGTAGGCTTACAGATGAATTGTAGCATGCTCCTTCCCGCTGCTAAGTAATAGTTGACATCCGCCTTTGTGACATTAGGTCTCACGTACATTTTTTAAGGAAGCCCGGATTCCAAGTTTCCAATTTGACCTGCGCCCGTGATCGTTAAGGGCTAAAAATTGGTCACTTTCGCGAAAATCAGGGCCAAACTTCGAGCAGTGCAGGACTCAAAGTGTTGGCCCCAGGGACTTCGACAGGCCTGGTGCCACGTCTTGTTGCGCGTGCACTGTACTACACGATCGCAACAAGACAGGGCCCATTTCGGCCCTGTCCCGTACACCTGATGCGCGATTGAGACCCCCGTAGTTGCGTTACCCGTTGGGCTTATAACTGCACCAGGCATTTTGCTCTGGTTCGTGGTATTCGCCACGCTCGTCGTGGGATTGTACAAAGCATTCGTAGTTACACACTTGTTTTTTCTGGAACAGAGGTGGTGGGAAACTATTGTTCTACTTGTATTGCTTTAGTTACCACAATTGTTTAGGGGAGTTCAAACAAAGCAGTACATCAAACTTCACAATTCATAACCAACCCCTCAACAAGCCCACCCAACCAATGCTCGAACAACACCTGGTGTTGTCCAATCCCACACGTGCAACATCACGGTTGCATAATTGGAGCACAAGTTGTGCTCCAATTTCACAGAGTGGTGGGAATTTCCTCAGAGGGGTATTCAACCCCTCTACATGCGTACCCACTCCGCCGACTCCACATAGCCGTCCATGACGGCTGTGACACCAGCATCCAGGAGCTGCTGGTGACGCGACGGCATCGTCATCCAGGCCGGCAAAACGCGACCAGGCCGAGCAGGTGCGGAGCCAGCCGGCGGCACGTTGAGATTAGGGCGAGGGCTGGCACGCTCCATGCGCTCTATGATAACCGGGTTACGGATGTCAAATAGAGTGCAAACGTCGCGTAGCCGATCAACATTTTGCAGGCAGATCTCGCGTCTTCGCACACCGCCATCACGTCCAGTGGCGCCTCCCACGATGAGCGCGCCGTGTCCGACTCGGGCTCCGTCGCCAGCGGATCTTTACTGGGCTCGGCGCTCGTGGGCTCGTAGTTGTCCACGGTGACAAACTCCGCGGCGAGCATCGCGCTGGGGCCGAGGGCGAGGCGATCAATGAGCACTCCCACGTCTCTGATATCCTCGTCGAGCTCGATCTCTGCTTCTCCCTCGTCACCGGGCTCGCCCACGTGCGCAAGATCCAGCTGCCATGATAGGGGGAGGCACCCCGTGCGCCACCAGCAGCGCTGGATGGTGCGCTCTCCGATGCTCATCCAAGCATCGGAGAGCCACTCCAAGACGTCTCGGAGGGTCGGGCGAAACCTCCGCATCGCGGTACTAGTGCCGCCGATTTCCTTCCAGTAGGCCGTGAACGCTTTAAGCCAGTGGGCGCGGTAACGCGCCTTGACCGTGGCGATCATGCCCTGATCGAGCGGCTGAGTAAAGCTGGTCGTATTCGGCAGGAGATAGACTAGAGTGACGTTGCTGATGGAAGGAGTACGAAATCCAAAAATGTCTTCGGATGTCGCAGTCTCGCTCTGAAGAACGTGATTGCTCGCATTGTCGAGCAGAATCACGATATGGCACTTCTCCGCAAACATGGCGGCGCTCACCTGCTCAATGAAATGAGTGAATAGCTGATAGGCAACACAAAGGGGGGAGGACGGTAAAAGGGTAATGAACGCAGCATGAGCGGATTACTAACGGTGGAACCAATCGGAATGCAAGGAACGGTTGATTTGCATGCAATAAGCATGAAACAGCGAGTTCATACATACCGGTGCAGTCATCCAGCCTTTCTTGTTGTTCCACCAGTAGCACAGCGGTTCGGGGTCATAGTCCGGCCTGAAGTCATGCGGGCGGGCGGCCATAAAGATGACAAGAGGGCGGAACACGTGCGAACCATCGGCGTTCACAAGGAAGGCAACGGTGAGACGTTCCTTCGCGTTCTTCCGTCTGGCCACACGTCCGGTGCCATAGGTCTTCCGCGGCAGGACGGACAGCCACAGAGCTGTCTCGTCCAGGTTGAAGACGTTCCGCGGGGTGACGGACATGCGCATGAGAAGCTGAGGGAGCTTCTCCTTACACGTCTTCACGGCGTTGTGGTCCGCATCGGCGGCTTCACCGAGCGCACTCCTGCAGCAGATGCCGTGGTGATGCATAGCGCGCCGAACCCAGCCCACAGAGCAGCGAAAGGTGGGGGGCTTACCCATGTCGCGAGCAATGGTGGCGACATGATCCCGAATTGTGCCAAGAGTGAGCAGCACCCCAGCAGGGCCAGCGTTGGCGATCCACCAGATCATAGCCTGCTCCAGGTCGGGGTGGGCTCCTTCTCAAACACGGACGGCATTGTTGTTCTTGGTCGAAACCGCCCAACGCTCGGCGACCCGCAAAACACGTCCTACAGTGGATCGGTCAGGGCGAATGCCGAAGCGGGTGAAACACCACCGCGCAAGGTCGACCTGGCACAGGTGAGGGTAGCTGACATGATGTGCGCAAATGGCACGCTTGACATGGAGCGGAAGCTGGGATCTACGAAGTAGCCGAGGCATGGCTACTAGCAGTGAGGAGTTAAAGCTACTGAATGTCGAGGTAGAATGCCCGTAATTTATCAAGTTTTGGCTGTGCTCCAGGTTTCGCTAGTGCGCATCAACCTTGGTGTGATTGTTGTTCAAAACGTGCATCTGGCATTGGATGCGTTGGGTGTTGGGATTGTAACCACCACCGCACGACGTGACGTGTGAATTGTGAACCGCCGGGGGTACACCGTGTTACCAACGCACACAGGCAACATACACATGGCGAAACCCTTACCAAACAGTGCGTTTGGTGCACCATGACATTGGTCTACGTGGCGTTATGTCATGCGTGAAATTCCGCGCGACGTCAAACTCACATCGTCCATCCCGTTCGCGACATTTGAACCAGGCCTAAAGACAAGGCCAGAATGGGACGACTTCGCTTGTTTTGTTCAACCTGTAGCACAGTTGGCGGACCGCACCCACCGGGCAACTTGTTTCAGGGGTCTGTAATGTGGATGCAGCTGGCTAGCCCCAATAGCTTGTGGGCAGGATTTTGACAGTAAGCAGAGCAAATTTGGGGGCAGGACTTGGGCATCGTGTGTACTATACACGCGCATGATTTTGATCATGGCGCGCTGTACAGCACGACCGAGAAAAAATCTCGGTCGTGCGTGTGGCACGAGGGGGCGCTCGGGTCGGCACGGGAAATTTCTCGCGAATGTCACGACGCTTTGCGTGATCATTTCGCCACAGGTACAAATCGGTTATTCCGTTTTCCAAACGGTAAAAGCCGTTTTATGACTGTGAGCTCGCATGAATTCATTACAGTAGAGCTACATTGGAGTGACATGCGTGCACACATTTGAGTTGGGCCAACATCATAGACATGCAAATTAGTATGGTGACCCTATGCGATTGTATGCAAAACCGTCGATACCTCAATTTTGGAGGTAATGTCAAATTGTCCTAATAATGCGCTTTGTTTAAAATAATTGGTTTTTGTCACGCTTTAAAAAGAGCTAAACTATGATTTCGTCAGGCGACTGTTCTGCCAGATGTCTCGCGAATGTCACGCCGCTTTGCGTGATCATTTTGCCACAAGTACAAATCGGTTATTCCGCTTTTCAAACGGTAAAAGCCGTTTTATAACTGTGAGTTCGCATGCATTCATTAGAGCTACATTGGAGTCACATGCGAGGCTCATGAGTGCACACATTTGTGTCGGGCCAACATCATAGACATGCAAATTAGTATGGCAACCCTATGCGATTGTATGCTAAACCGTCGATACCTCAGTTTTGGAGGTAATGTCATATTATCCTAATAACACGTTTTGATTTAAATAATTGGTTTTTACCACGCTTTGTTTTGCGCTAAACTATGATTTTGTCGGGCGACTATTTTGCCAGATGTGCACGACTGTTCACTACAACTGACCCAAGAAAAAAATAAAACCCAATCGGAAAGGGATGCGACTCGGGGAGGCATCAACCCTTGAAATAATGCCATTTCCCGTGTGTAGGTCTCTAGGGGGTTTATTTTGTTTCTGCCCTGCCCTAACAATTCCCGGTGGCGTCGACTACAAAATTGACCATGTATATTCTGATTTTAACAAGATTTCTCCGCAAAATGTATCGTACACATTTAGTGGAAAATAATCGCCCGAAATAATTGTTTGTAGGCGCCAGACGAGGCGCGGTAGAAACCACTTAAATTCGAAATTGAAAACGCAATCGATTACTGCATATATTTCGTCCTTGATTGTGTTGCCTCTGCTGTTACACAGTGTTTTTAGTGGCGGTACCAGACAAATTTGCGCAGCAGAACTTGGGTATCGACGGTTCTGCATACAATTGCATAGGGTTACCATACTAATTTGCATGTGTATGATGTTGGCCCCATTTGAGTCAGCAGGGGCAACTGTTACAAGTACAGTTTGAAGGCAGTTTTTAACAAGAGGAGGATACAGCCAAACGCTCAAGGAGTTGAGCAACCGTTCTCAAGTACAGCGTGGCAAAATCCTGCGAGCTGGTTAAACAACTGTTTTATGCTTGCCCTTGCCTGTGCGTAGAATCTATATAAATATGTGCTTGTACTTGTCGAAAGTAATTCAATGCATTCGCGTTTTCCAAGCTTGAATTCTACTTCTTCGCATTGACGAGAGTAGAAACATTACCTTAGTGCTGCCGAAATTCTTCTCGACCAGTTTGCTCGTCCTACAAGCTGAGCAAGGCATAACTACTCAATGTCAGAAACTGAATTGTTGGTTCATTGATGTGAGTGGGGGTACATATAGCAAACCCTAACATCTGTACCCCCTAAGACAAACCTCACTACAGGCTACAACATCTGACACACCCCCATAGCCTAAGTGAGGGGTGTCAAGCAAAACCAAAAGCGTACGGCCACAAGACCAGTCACAAAGAAACAAGCTCTGGGTGGATCACAACGTCACCACACACTTCGAGCACAAGGCCACAAGGCCAGTCCAAGAGTTCACAAAGCTATAAGTAAAGTGTACAAGCAAAGCAAGCAAAGAACTCAAGTCTAAACACGACAAGAACTTGTGTCAACAAGGCCTAACTGCACACAACACCTGTGTCTAATGGTCACAAGGCTGAAGCGCCTTGGTGAAGATGTCTGCAGTGTTGGCCTCGGACTCCACAAACTTGAAGCGAGCCTGTCCACGCCTCTACAACTCTCGCAGAAGAAAGTACCTGACGTTAATGTGCTTCACTCTGCTCTCCAGTCGTGGCTCTCGACAGAGGAGAATCGACGCCTTGTTGTCAGTGAACAAGGTCGGTGCAGAGCTCGGCCGCTCACCAAGGTCGGCGAGCAAGAAGGTCAATTAGCGCAGCTCCTGTGCCGCCATGGCACCAGCGTAGATCTCAGCCTCAGCTGTAGAGGTCGAGACCGAGGAGGAACGCGTGGACCTCCAAGAAACAGCTCCAGAACCCAGGCTGAAACAGTACCCCTGAGTAGACCTGTGATGCTCAGCGTCGTCAGAGTAAGAAGAGTCACAGTGACCAGTAAGTACGACAGACTGCTGCCCTCCAAGAACCAGCCCCACGCCTGATGTCATCGATAGGTACTTCCCCACCCTCATAGCTGCCGTCCAGTGAACATGACGGTGTCTCCCTGGCGCAACAAAGCGAGCAAGGATGCTGAGAGGGAAGGCGAGGTCCGGGCGAGTACAAGTTATCAGGTACATGAGGCAGCCCACCAGCTCTGCGTAGGGACCACTAGGCTCAAACGGCTCGTCAGGAAAGGGTCCAGTGAGTCTGTGGTCAACAGCAAGAGGTGTGCGATGTACTGTGGAGTGTTGAAGCTCGAACCGCTGAAGGACTTGCTGCACCATGTGTGACTGTGAGAGTGTAATGGTGCGAGCAGCTCTGTCCCTGGTGATCTGCAGGCCAAGGTAGTGGCGCAGCTCACCAAGGTCAGTGCACGTGTGTCTCTTCTGCAGTTCAGACTTCACGTCTGCCAAGGCAACCCTGTCAGCAGTGGCGAAAACCAGGTCGTCGACGTAGACCAGAACAAAGAACGGTATGGTGCCTCGACGAACGAACATCGACGGGTCAGCAGAAGACGGCTGGAAACCAAGGTCAGACAGGGTAGAACGAAGGGTGTCGTGCCACTCACGAGAAGCCGGACGTAGACCGTAGATCGGTCGCCTCAGCCTCCACTGGGTCCCAGGAGGGAAAGTGCCAGTGAAGGCAGAGGGACGACGCAGCCAGACCTCCTCGTGTAGGCTACCCTGAAGGAAAGCTGAAGAGAAGGCGAGAGAGTGTAACTCGTAGTCTCTCTGTGCTGCTACGTGCAGTAACACCCGAAGAGTGGTCATCTTCGGGGTAGGCACGAAGGTCTGAAAGAAGTCAACTCCCTCGCGCTGACTGAAACCTCTAGCCATGTAGCGCGCCTTGAAGACCGGAGGAGATCCCGGTGGCCGCTTCACCCTGTAGATCCACATGCCATCGACTACGTTCGCCCCAGGGGGGGGGAACCTTGTCGACATAGGTGCCTGTGGATCTGTAGGAGGCCATCTCTGCGTCCATGGCAGCTCTCCATTGAAAGGCCCAAGGCCCTGACACTGCCTCAGCGTAAGTGCGAGGAGTCGGAATGTCAAGGGCGTCGGGGTCTCCCTCAGGGGCGAGGAGCATGGCACAGAGATGAGGCGAAGCGGCTGCCAGGAACTCTAGCTCAAACTGCCTGTCCTCTAGGGCAAGGGCAGACTCACCCCCGACAGCTAGAAGACTGGTAGGAGCAGCAGGCACAAGACTGGTAGCGTAGTCAAGGCGGCGAGTAGAGGCAAACTTAGTGACTGCGGCAGTAAGAGCGGAGACAGAGGACACAGAGGCACGAGGGTCGGTAACAAGAGAGGCGAGAACACGAGAGAGAACAGGACGGTACGTGCGGTAGTAGTCAGTGATAGGAGTAGAGAAAGAAGCAGTGAGGGCCGACTCAGGCGGAGAAGGAAGTAGAGACGGAGACGAACGAGGCGGACTAGAACGAAAGAGGGCAGTACGAAGGTCAGTGCTACGAGACAAGACGAGTGAGGCGCAGTAGGCTCGGGAGGCTCGGATAGGAGGAATAGGATCCTATAGGATCCTAACCTAGGTGATACCATGTCAGAAACTGAATTGTTGGTTCATTGATGTGAGTTGGGGTACATATAGCAAACCCTAACATCTGTACCCCCTAAGACAAACCTCACTACAGGCTACAACATCTGACACTCACTTGCTAGTTTTACGCCCTTGGCTATGAGGTGACTGTTAAAC